AGCCCCCGCAGGGGTCCCACTCTTCCTTCAGGGCAGACCCCACCACTGAGATTGAACCCTCCCCCCCCCAGCTCCAGCCAGATTCCGAGCCTTGGCCCCCGGAAAGGATTAGCCGAGCAGGGTTTGGGACTGAGCAGAAGGGAAACTGAGGCACGCGTTAACACCCCCCCTGGCAATGCCCGCGCCGTCGCTCCTTTCCACGGCATGGACGAGCCAAGAAGACCTTGACACGGTTGGGGGGGAGACTGACGGGGCGGATTTAAATTCACCAGCCGCCCCGGTGGTAGCAGGAGCCAGGGGCCGGCACCGTGGAAGAGGAGACGGGGCAGAAGACGGTGGACACTCGGCTGGCGCCAGGGGAAAGCGGCTCCCAGCTCTCCGGCCTGGCCAGGCGCCGGCCAGCGGGGGCAGGGGAGAGGGAATCCCTGATCAGCCAGGAAAGGGCCCGGCTAGGAAGGCCAAACGCGAGGTGGCCGGATGTGGCTTTCCTGCGGCCTGGTGTGGCCAGTCCTGGGACGGGCTCTTCGAATCTGAAGGGCCGGGTGGGTTTCCCCAGAGCTGCGACACCATGTGCTACTGAGGGGGGGGGGGAACCAGAGGAGAAGCTGGTGAGAAGGGGGGGAGGTTGTGCAGGGGGGGCTGGAGGTCGAGGGAGGGGGGATTCACAGTGGGCGGCACAGACAGGTGGGAGAGGCCTGGGCTCCTAAATACAGCTCTCCAGCGCCTCCCCCATGTAGATGCTCCTCCACCAGCAAGGCATAGAACCCAGGAGTCCTGGCTCCCAGCCCCCCCCCCCCCCTAACCACTAGCCCCCACTCTCACACACACACACACACACACAGCCGGGCGGGGCCCATTCTCTCTCTTTATTGTGATGGATGCAAAGGGGGGCTGCTGGGGCGTTTCCATAGGGAGCCCCTGGAAGGAGGGGAAGAGCTGCTGGCGTGGGGATCCTGACTCCCCCCCCCCCCGGAGAAGGGGGGTGGGGGGATGGGTCTTCTGGGGAAGCACCTTCGCCTGGCTCCTGCCAGATCCACCTGCGAAGAACAGGCAGTGAAAGGGTTAAATCAGAGACCCAGGCCCCTCCCCCCCAGCCAGCCAGCCTGCCCCCAGCCCGGACCAAAGCCGGCGCCCCCTAGAGGGGACAGGCCCCTGCCCCATTCCCTGACCCCCTGGAGCCAGCCAGTCCCTGCCCTGGGGCCAATGGGAGCCAGCACCCCCTAGAGGGGACAGGCCCCTGCCCCATTCCCTAGTATTTCTCACACACCTCAAACTTCATCAGGATACTCTGCGGTGGGCTGGAGGTCTGAGCTGTCCAGGCGGGCTGACGATAACAGGGGCTGATCTGGGGGGCAGAGAACAGGTTAATGACTGCAAAACCTCAGCAGGACCCCCAGCCCCACAGGAATCCCTCCAAAGAGACCCGGCACTTACCCCACTCCCCTCCCAGAGCTGGGGAGAGAACCCAGGAGTCCTGGCTCCCAGCCCCCTCCCCTCTGACCCACTCGACATCCCCCCCAGCTCACCATATTCCTCCTCCTCCGGGCAGGGTGGCATATTGAGACATGGCTCCTTCTCCTCCACCTCCAGGGCCTTCCCGTTGATGGGCTGGCACTGGGGCCAGGGTTTGCCCCAGAAGCTGACGTTTACCGACACGGTGGTCCCCACTCCTTGGGTCTCCATCCTGCGGGGGAGGGGAGAGATCAGCATCGGGCCCAGACCCCTCCCACGGGCCTCTGGATCAGACCATGGGACCGGCACAGCTTGGTATCCTTCCCCTCCCACCAGATCAGACCCAACCCTGGTATCCCCACTCCTGGATCAGACTCACAGGCGCTGGTATGTCCCCCCTACCCCCACCCCCAGCTGGTCACACTCACGAAAATTTGGGGTACGTGGGTTGGCAAACGCGCTTCCGAGACTTCATGGAATTCTTCTCGCAGGGTGGGATGCAGAGACCCCAGGAACTCCAGTCGGACCACTGGCCCTCCACTGGGGAGCCAGTACAGACACCAGTCAGGTCAAGAGCCCATCTGGCCCGGTCTCCCGCCTCCCCTTCCCCCAAGTCAGAACCAGGGGCCCCTGCAGCCCGGTACCCCCGCCCAGATCAGACCCCCGGGCCCCTCCAACCCGGTACCCCCGCCCAGATCAGACCCCCGGGCCCCTCCAGCCCGGT